CATTCATATTAAATGGTATGTATTAAAGAAAAAGAAGAACTATTGCAATATCTCCTATTTGTCTTAAACAAAGAGCTTAAGCTAACAATAATAAAATTATCCTGAGATATACAACTTAGAAGCAATTGGAGGTACACACATACATCACACACACACAAATCACACACACACACACACACACACACACCCGCTCCCCACTCCACATACACATACACATATACACAGAGAGGCAAATGAAGCTTCAGAAGGGTAAGTTCATCTTGGCTGTGTTCCAGTTCACAAATTCAGTATAAATCTATAAAATGCTTCTAAAGAAATCTGACAGCAACAGTCCCAAAAGAGAGTATTCTTGGTACACATATCTATTTCCATTCAAATCAATGCAAAGTTTTAATACATGTAGGACAGCACATCATTCCAGTTCTGATCCAGGCAGGGTCCAACAGTCTGGCCAAAGATAATCCCTTTCAGAGCTCATCCATAAATGGTAGGCTTATCTTTCTCTATGCCCCAAATCAAAATGAGGTACAGCCTCCCAGTAAGGTTGGGACAGAGTAATTGATGTGAAAATTGTTTTAAAGGTGTTAGAAGAATGTTTTCTTACTCAAACCATACAGCAAAACAGAAAAAGAAAATAAAAGTATCCCTTTAGAAATAGCAGGTATAACAGAGAAAAGAAACTGGATGGAAAGAACGTATTTAAAAAGCCAAGTCTCAACTATTGTTGCTGGGGGAAAGAACAGAGACAAAGAGGAGGGAGCCCATCTGTGAAAAGTAATTGGGAAATACTACTGGAGAGATCTCCTCATTAATAAAAAGAAAAGTTCAAGAAACATGAAAACTCAATTCAGCAAGTGGTACAAGCACAACCTCTAAGCTATTACTCTCCTCTTCCAAAAAAAAAAGAAAAAAGGAAAAATGAAAAAAACACAAACAACCCTAAATGGAACCTATGGATAAACAGATCATCTTTCTGATATAAAATTCACTCAGTGTTTTATAAAGATTGTAATCATAATCACAGATCTGGAAAGGATCTTAGATGAATTCAAACCTAACACACCTCTTTTAAAAGATAAAGAAGCCCAGAGGTACTTGTTTTTAGTCATTTAGCAAAGGAACTTCAACTCAAATCTCCCATTTAACAGGCTAGAATTTCTAGTCTATAGGCAACCTTGAAACTAGGAGAGTTGGATTAAGAATTGCACTCTTGCCTAAGCAGAATAAGAAAAGGGGAAATGCCATAAAAAAAGTCCATAGAAAGTTCAACAGCTGTTCACCATTCTTAATTATATGGCGACAGACTCAACTAATCAAGCCCTCTCTTCCTTACATGTCCTACATAGGAGCTAACAAATTATGTATACTCAATACATGTTAAGACTTCAACTGCTTCAAAGTGTAACAAAACCTTAAACATGTTTCCTAAGTCCCCGGCACCAATGAATTTGTAGTTTTATAAATATCATGGTGAACAAGAAATGCTGTCTTGTCACATTCAAGCCAAATAACAGCTGGACTTTAAAAATAAAATTTTGAAGGCATTTGCCTTTTATATTTTTAATTTCTGTTTTCCTTGCCTATGGTTTTGTCATATGATTTTGATGAGTGGTTAATACACATGCACAGCTGCCTCTTTTGGTGACCTTTTCCTCACTGTCTCCAGGCTCAGGGCTACGAAGCATGTCTACAAGTTGCTTACTAAGTGATATTGTCATTTTCATGGCTGGCACATTTTCCTGGGAAGCCTGGTGGAAGCAGGGCCTCATCCTCTGGATTGGCTTACTTTAGTCACTTCAGAAGCCTCACAGGAGGATGGGGTAGAGTGGAGGGAGGGCATAGCCTCTTAAAATTGCTGTCCCAAGGCCAGAAGAGACCTGTATGAACTGAGGGAGAGGACATCCTGGGCTATAGGCACAGAACTTACCTATCAACTCAGCCTCCCTAAGGAGCTCTCACTCCGAGAGCACAAAGAAGTCCTGATCTTCTTAGCACTTTTCTCCATGGTAATTATGTATGTACATATTTCTCCTTTAATCTTCTGTCTTTTCTCACTAGATCGTATGTTTAAAGAGGTCAAGGACATCTCTGCTTTGCTTCCTGTCTTTTATTCTATGTCTAGTTTAGGGGCTGGCACATGGTAGTCACTCAAGAAATGTTGGCTGGTTCTTTTTTTAGAACACAGACTAAGTGAAGGAGCAAATACGTTTTTTTAGTTGTTCTGATACTCCAGTTTCTTCTTAATCTTACTGTTAAGGGAAATATGAAAGAACAAAGTAGAGAAAGTATCATGTGTACCTGTTATCTTCTCTGACTTTAATATGAACTGTAACTCCAGCAGACATTGCAATCAGCTCACACTTGAACAGATGCCAGGAAGTATCCTGACGTCAGCAGAAGGCTGCTACCCATCCTAGAAGTCCTCACAGAAGCACTACACTTCAGTCAGTATTAGAACAGGTAACTTGACTCCATTCATGAACCCACAGTCCCCCCAAAGCACATGAGGTCTCAATGGCAACTCGGCAAGCTTCTGAAGGGAGGTTTTCACATGCTCCTTAAGCGCCTGGGCCACTACAGCCCTTCTACTATGACACTCATCAGGCACTGCTGCTATATGAGACAGAGTAACATGAGAGCTGGCATATGGCATGACTTGCTATTTTTAGGGAAGAGGAAATGGGCCATACTGAGGAAGGTCACAAGGAGTTTGTTCAGAAAAATGAAGGGACTCAGTGTTTCTGTATATACAGGGGGTATAGTATGGCAGGCTGCTTGGGACAATCTCAGCTGTACCCTTAATATGTGGCTCATAGCAAGTAATTTAATTATTCTCAGCCTCAGTTTTCTCACCTGTAAAGTGGAAAAAGTAATACCTTCTTTATAATGTGTATAAGGATTAAATGAATAAATATGTGTAAAAAGCTTAACACATCCTCCAGCAATTCAGTGCTTGGTAAAATGTTTGCTAAAAACAAAACAACCTGGAAAATTGATTTGAATCTAGACAATCTAGGCATTGAATAGAATATCCAAAAATATTTCTATATAGTATGTTTCTCTAGAGTTAAATTTTTAACATTTTCCTTTTAAATAGTTAATAATTCTGACCATGATTTTTAACTTACCAAGCACATGATATCACTAACTAGATAATGACATTATTGAGAGATAACTAACTATATTTACACCCAATATGCAGTTCAGGGAGCAAATGAAAAAGGGTGAACGGCGAATTAAGAAAAGTCTTTGACAGCACAGATAAGGTGATAGAGCTCTGTAACTATCAGTCTGTTGTGAAATAAACAGACTGAATACTCCAAAGCAATGAAAAATATTTATTTCATTACAAATGGTCAACAATTTAGGTACTCTACAGTACAATCTCCCAATAAAATTGAGATGGGCCAGACCTGAAACACTTCCACACAGACTTTTAGGCCAGCCACAAGCTCTGTGTTGCAGTCAGATGGTTAACTGCGCAAGTAACATCATTTGGATTTCCTGGCTCCCTAAGCAAAGGAAACTGACCTCTGTCAGTGGAAAACCTGCACTTTTAAAGTGCCTATGAAAATAATAGGCTGTTGATACACACTCTTCAAGGAAGACAGCAAGTATGTTTCTGGTTTTGAGTCCTCTTCATGCCTCCCTTCCTACCTAACTTCCTCTTCCTCATTCCATTCCTTCCTTTCTCTTCCCTTCCCCTCCCTCCCTCCCTCTTTACTCCACACACACATACACATCTTAATCAGAATTCATTTTAACACTTTGTCTCCTAAACTATCATCAAACATTAATCTTCCCTACTAGTATGAAAAATTAGTGCTCTGAAAACTTTCTGAAGGCTTCCTAATGTCTAATACTACTCATCTAAGTGCTCATTCCAGGGATTTCTGGGCTGCCTGGGATGGCCCCAGGCTCTCACTAGAAGCCATGCCCAGTTTAGATGCTGCTATGAAGTGTCTTCATGTGTTTTCAAGGGATTAGGGTCCTGGAGGAAACCCTGCCAGTAAAAGGGATACTAGTGAGATTCTTCCCCTTAAGCTAAAGAAGGACTTTAGCTGAGACCTGAGATGGGCAAAGTATCATGTTACTCTGAAGAGAACAAATTAATCTTCCCTGACTAGTGGGACAGATTCTGCCAAAAGAACAGCTAACGGGAAAACCAGTCTCTACTCGATGATGACACAGTAAATAACCAGGCAACATTACTGCTGAATTGCTGACCTAACCCATAAATTGTACCCAGACTCTGGGGAGCAATTTCTGCTGATGTGCTGCTTGTGTATTTAAAACAAACAAACAAAAAGGGAAGAGAAGTGAACAGGCATTGATATTGGTGCAGGTAGACATTCTGAGAGTAAGGCTGGTCTTTCCACCCAGACTTCTGAAAGACTTTAGTAATGGTTAGTGCATAGGCACAAACTGGGCCTTCCCCAGCCAACTATTAAGTTTATGCTAAAACTGCTGCAAACTATCATTTAATCCCCAAAATAAAACTACTGTACCTGGGAATCACTTGATTTAGATATGCTAAATACTCTGATTGGATCATTCCACAATGTATATGTGTATAAAAATCACTTTATATCCCATAAATATATACAATTATTACTTGTCAATGAATAAAATAATGTTTAAAAGCCCCTCTTTGTATACTTTCCCTTTTTAAATACGAATTCGGTGAGGTGGCTGAAACACAGAATTCTGCCATTCATTGAAATGTAGAGGATCCTTTTATTTTAAAACTTTAATGGTACCTTGAAGTACTTGGATTGCTAGGTATTCAGCAATGTAATATCTAGCTGCTTCTTAAAGTCCTCCACTATAATGCATAACATAACATAAATACATAGTTAAAGAGTAACATTTCCTCTGCTTTGCCTAAAAAATTCTAGCTGATGACTCCTATGAAAAACTATAAAGATCCTATGTCTAGTTCAGACACACCTTTGGAAACATATGGAACAGCAGAAAAGAGCTAGGGAAAGGCCACTCACCCTCTGCGTCTTCTGGCCGAGTGAGATCGATGACACCTGGGCCCAGTTTTCCATCTTCATTTGACTTTCCTGTTAACTGGGGCCCCAGATTCTCAAAGCGTGTTCTTTCCTAGAAGAACAAATAATTAGAGGCTTATTCCAGTTTCCAAACAGCCACTATTTCCTTTCAGTTTCTATCTTGCTTAATGGGCAAAAGTTGAATTCGCAAATATCATTTCTGACCAACTTGGACCAATTTTCACCTTTCGGCAAAATTCCACTGAAAGCCATTTGTGACATGGACACAGCACTGACAGCATCTAGACCATAGCGCCTGTAAGGAAAGGAAAGCTGTGACAGGGAACCTGCCAGAGCTGCTCTGCATATCTTCTCTCTGTTGGGTTTGCTCCAGTAATCTAAAAAGAATGCAACAGAGAGGGTTGAGCCAACAATGCCAAAACTGGAAAGAGCAGTTCCTATTAAAATACACTGCTAAATTTAATGGGAGAGGAATTTTCCCATTTAGAGAACGTAGTTTGCATTGGTATTCCTGTGGAAATACGAGTCAGAATTTTATGCACGAGGATTTCAAAAACAAGTATTTCAAAGCAGGCCAACTAGATGATGACTGATACTACTATATTGTCTCAGAATTTCAACTGTGATTTTTCTGGGAAGAGAAAAGGAGGACATTACTCCTAGCCAGCCATGGAGCCAGGAAAATTAAATACCCCTGCTGCTTTAGGAGGGAAACCCAGAGATGTTTTACTTGTTCACCAGTTCTTCTAGGAGTAGGAGACGGAGGCATCACAGTGAACACTCCCTCTGCAGCTTTCTGGATCAGTAGCAGAGGGGCTCATTGACCATCATTAATATGGTGTTCTTGTCTGCAGAAACACAGCGCATGTCCCCCTCTCATCTCCTCACTACTCTCCTGACTCAAACTTGGCTTTGTGTTGTGCTTATGAATGAATGAAACCTTGTTGTTCATTACTATGAAACAATATTAAATGTCATGTCAGCTTGAATTTACAGACATGAAATAGCAGCTTCTAGCTCCGGGAATGGTTTCTGCATGTTATACTTAATGCATTATGCAGCAGTAGAGTGCTGATTGCTGTTCAGTCTATTGTTCAATGACCTAGTTCTGTACTGAGCATGTTCGGCATTAGATGGAAACACTCTGAGTGTTCTCTTCTGTAAGATGTTTAGAAACTTGGAAATATTCTTAAAGAGCAAACATACAATTACTTGATATAGGCTGTGCTTCATTTGTACAGCCTCACTACATTTGTGCTTTCTAATATGATTATTTTTGAATATCATTATATTTCTATAATTAATCCCCATCAGTCAAATTGTGCAGGAAGTCTTCCAGTTCCCCTTCATCATGGAACACGTTGAAATCTGTGTTAGAAGAAAACACAGCATAAACCTTGCTTTAATCTACACCATTTCTATGAAAGATTTGCAACAAAAATTATAATCATGAATTTCCCTAACTGGGTAATACTCACTCGTTTAAATAGCAGTATGTGGGAAAACCTGTGAAATATGACACTTACAAAAAACAGAATGAAAATAAAAACCAAATTAAGTACAGTTCCCTAATATCTTCTAATTTGAAAACACGGTGCACAAGAACAAATTAACCCAGATGCAGGACACAACAAAAAGCAACCTAAGCCTTGTGGGAGCTTCACACACAGTCAGGGAAAGGACAGCTGCTTTTAATCAGCCAATTTCTATTTTTGAGTAGCACTTTGGTTGTCATGATGTAAAAAGAAAAGAATTAAAGTGAAGATGAGTAGTACCAGGGAAAGCAAAATATTCAACCTTTGTTTTATCACATTGTTTCGCATTTCAAATATTTGCATGTGAATGCTTTCCCTATGTTAAATGCAAAAGGAGTTTTGATGTGACACCTGCAATCTTGGAAGAACAACCTTTAACTGTATTTTCATAGGGGGAAAAACAACTTTCTCTGAAAACCAACAGACCGTGCTACCTATCAATATGCATATTTCAAGTATCTTTCTAGTCATTCATTCTCTTTGATTTTACTGGAAAATATTCTCAGTAAAAAAAAATAATAAAGTTCCTGAAAGAATATCAATATTTTGACAAGGAAGGAGAAGAGGGAAAATTACATGCCATCGTTTGTAAAATCCTAAGACAACAAAGCTTACATGATGATAATATCTTTTCTTTTATAAAAATTGAAGTGCACTCACAATTCAGTAGTATCAGCTTGTTTTTAATCATAACAAAAAACATTCAGAACATTCAACAACACATTCACAGTGTCTTTGAAGTCATACATTTTTCTGACTTCATTGAAAAAAAAATCTTCTACAGAGATACTTTCCTTTAAAATATCAATATTTTGACAGTAGAAGTCAAGGAAGAATATCCAATAAAACACTTCTTAAATAGGAAGAAAATAAATCAATGATAGAAATTGTTTTGGGCAGTGGGTTGCATTTTAAATTTGGTAATATTAAGCACTTGTGTTTGAGATTAAAGAAGGACCCTGCAAAGCCATGCCCTTTCATATAAATTTCCACCTAGTCTCCCAGAAGATTTCCTTCTTTTCTTCAAAGAATAGCTCAGAATATTTATTTGCCAGCCACATAACTATAAGATAAGAGGGCCTGATGTCTACAAGTTATGTCTGGGCAGCTGAGCTAAGCAAAGATTTTACTGGTGAGGTCAAACATGAGCCTAGTAAATACAGGATGCGGACATGGGCACAGAGAGAAGTATAAAGATAACTTCAGTTCCAACAAGCTTAAACTTCTGCCATTAAGTACCCGTGAGCATGCCCCTATATAGAACAAATATAGGCTGTGGGTGGCAAGGTCTTAAGTCCAAATTTCCATGCACTTGAACTAGCTGTCACCATGTACATAGCTCCCAAGTAAGATACATTGGAGATATAAGCAAAATACCTCAATGCTAATTTAATCCCACCCCTCCAGGAAAACTGCCCCATGTTGACAGTGGATGTTACATGCAGCAATGTGATCAGGCACTTGCTTACGCACTGTCAGTCACTAACATGCAGGCAACATACAAGTTATTGCAAAAAAATTAAAGTCAGCTCTGCTGTGTTGTAGGACTGTTGGCTCTCTAAGTGCTTTGAAATTATGATATATGAGGTAGATGTTGCATATTAAATAAATATATTTAAATGATAAAGCCCCCTTTAGTGAGAGCTGATGAATGTTAAATGTTACAAGCCACAAGATGGTAGTATCAATCATCTTCATATATTATCAGAGTCAATGATAGGGCAGCCTCACTGATGACAGATAGACTGCTGGATTATTATCCCTTATTTCCAGAGTCACTGAACAAACCATTCAACTCTTTGGGCATTATTTTTAACTTTGTATTAAATTAGCAACTTTTCCCTCCCTACCATGGCAAGATTGATCAATTTGGTTTTTGCATGGGTGGAGAGAGAGAATGAATTGGGGTATCTAAAAGAACAGAGGTTTGTTTTCATCTAGGAAAAAAATCAACTTCCTCTTACTGGCAACAAATATAAAATTGTGATCTGGAGAAAGAACAGCAATGAAACAGTAAGCACACAATAATGGCTTTTCTTTGCACTTAGATAAAAGCTGAATTTTTGATGTGCACAGTATATTTTAATAAAATTTTATATACTATGTTTTATACACTTATTGGCTATTCCATAATAATGTGTGTGCTAACAGTAAAATTGCTCTTAAATTTATGTGTGTTATTTATATGTTCCCACGTAACAATGCTTTTTGTTGTAAAAAATATTCTGTTTATTAATGTAACTTTACAACCACTGCATCCAAGATCCGTGGTAAATTAATGACATTTTTATTATTTTATAGTGTCATTAAATTTTTACTGATCACTCCATCAAACAGAGGCAGTAAAGGCCATAATGTAAACTGGGACACTTAGATCAGGCAGCAGGAAGACATTCCATATAGTCTGAAGAAAACTGCTAGCAATAAATGATATTTATACCATCTTTAAGCATGTGAGAATACTTGGATAAGTTTGGCAAAACTGTTTCAGTAGTAGAGTGGATTGTGTACTTAAATAACAGTTTGCTTGCCAGTGAGACAAGCCTTTTTCAAACCATATGCGAAGTGACTGACTGCAGCCATCTCCTGAAAAACAACATGTGAAATGTAATGATGCACTGGGTCCCTCCCTTCTGCATTACCAAGACTGACCAGCGGGTACCATACCTCAAATTATTTCAACATGGTCCCCTTTGCCACAAACCAAAGTGGAAAATGGTACTCGCTGAGAGAGGCTTTTTGTTTGCTGTTTTACAAACAAAATATATTTCATTTAAGAACACACGTCTGGACAATGATGTGATATATTTCATTCCAATGGTCTGAATGAGAGGTACTTTACCAACCTTTATTTAAAAGCTCATTTCTAAGGGGTGTCTGAATATGGGGGATCATTCACGGCAGCCATGGAAAATACAACTACGGAGCCATTACCTATAGCATAGTTAAAACAGGTAAAAAATTGTTATCTCATGTTATTTTTGTGTGTAAAATGCATTATAATTAGGATACTCTCTCTACTGACTCTCGTAAATAAACCTAAATGTGTGTTATGAACTAATTGCTAAATATTCTATTTATGTATATAGAAGACAGTAAATAAATTCTACGCTCATATAATTATGAATTTAGAAACACCTAATTTCTACAAGGGGAGTCTGATATGATTCTTTCTTAAGTAAAAAAAGAATTTCGTTGTTGCATCCTAAAATACATATTTAATTATTAAAGACTTAGAAATCTTTCAAATGTGTAATGGTAAGAAATTTTGCTGGGAAGGTTAATACTACAGCCCCACTAGTCATGTTTTGTGGGTATTCCTAAAGCAGAGTTTTCTAAGAAAAACAACAAATATTTGTATTACGAACAGAAGTTCTCTATGGTGATGACAATATTCTGAGATTATATCTTATCCTCAGAGTTTCAGCTATGTCTGGGTTATTAAGTGTAAGCTAAATAAGTCTTCTTGTTTTCATCCTAGCTCTTACTTCAATTTTTATGAACGTTTGATTTCCATTTGCGTATTTTGATGTATTTCCAGCCCAGGAAAACTCTT